TTTGTAATTCACATTCACCAAACTCATTTGACAACATAAGCTTTTCTTAAAATACATCCATTAACATCACATAATTTGTCTTTCTTACGGGAACTTTAGGAAATTAGACATTAGCAAGTCATTATTCTAACTGAAAAAGGAGAGCTATATACCTTTAAAGGTTTTGTTAAAAATATATAAGCTTCTAAAAATGTCCAACCAGGGCAAGGAATATGATTAGCCTCCTCGGGGCCATACAACCTCTTCCTGACCAATCACCTCCACACTTCATTCAGACCAGGCCTCAGACACAGATGACAGTCCCTGAGCCCGGGGATACAGGAAGCTTGGCTTTGTACTGGACAACAAGTTCCAAGGAGACTGTCAGGCTTCAACAGCACCGTGCAAGTAGCATAAATGCTGAAGAAGTCAGGATACAAAAGTACCACAGAGGAAAAGGAATACATTGATGTCATCTGTGCCACGCTGCTCTGAAAAGAATGAGCCCTAGAACGGGTGGAAGCCTCACCAACAGACCTAAACACAATGCACATTTATTTAAGAATATTTGCATAATTTCAAGTATTTCCTACAAAGAACTTCTAACTTACAAAGGAAGGAAATAATGTAGAACTGATAGCATCACAAATTGCCTCTCTTGCCTCATTGCCCCCAACACACAGACTCAGTCTAATAATAATAAAAAGTCAACCCAAAGTGTGAGACAGAGACAACCTGTGATGCCACTGACTGTGGTCACCAGAGGTGTCATAGCCTGAAAGAGTGGACTAACTAGGACCTGTCACAGATGACAGAGGAAAGGAAGCATAACAACAAATGCCAAGTGGGATGCTGGAGAACACAGGAAGAGCTGCTAATGCCAAGTGGCAAAGTTCGAATAGTTTGTAGTTCAGTTAGAATTACGGGGAGATACTAACTTCAGAGGAAGATGGAGGAAACATGCAGACACTTTTCTTAAGAAAATTTTCGGACAGTTTAAAATTGGTCATAATGAGAACTCTAAACATAAAGATAGGGGAAAATCAAAAGAAAGAAGAAGAAATGATGGGATTCACAGACTCCAGCACAGCATCAACCTGCAGAAAGACCGTAGAACCCTGGCATAGGAATCACATATGCAATTCTAAATTATCTATTAGCCGCATGAAACGAGATAAAAAGAAACAGCGCAAAGCAATGTAGCAATACATTTTCTTTAGCTTATATAGCCAAAATATTAACACTGAAACTTGTAATCAATACAACAATTACTGAGATCTTTAACGTTAAATTCCCCACAAGCTCTTCAAACACTAGATCCCCTCCAGGCACTTCCAACTGCTCGACGCTGGCATGTGCCCACGGTTCGCCATGGCAGACAGCACAGGCTCGCCACTCCCAGACACACGCTGCCCTCGTCTTGTCTTCTGCTTCTTCCTATGCCAGCTTTGTTCTTCTCTTTTACAGAGGCGCCCTCCTTTCCTTCATCCACTCACAGAAAAGTGCGCGTGTGCTCCAGGCATTAACCTGCTCACAAAGCTGACCAAAATTTCCCCTCCCTGGAGCTCTCACTCTGCACAGAGTGACCGGCGCAATCAGGAGCGCTATAAATAAGTAAAGCACATAATGATGATGTGATACGCGCATGGGGGTGGACAGCTGGGTGAGGTCACTCGCATACACCGAGGGTGGGCCACACCTCCAGGCGATCTCCCCGGGAAGCTGGCCTCGGAACAAAGCGCCTGGGCTGTAGAGACACAACTGGGCAGCCGGGCGGAAGGAGGCGTGGTTAGCCTGGTTGGGGTCATGTGACCTCTTCCTGACCAATCACATGACCAAGGGGCGGAGTCGGCCCCTCCTGGTTGCTCTAACGTCGACCAGTGATCAGTTAACCGCCAGTGCAAGGACAGAGGCTGCCACTAGCACCATGGGGAGAAGAGACAGTCCCACCTCCAACTTTACTTTTCATAAAGGGAAACGCTATTCATGTAAGAAAGGAGGTACTAGGCAGAAAAAATAATGCTTTACTATGCTTTCGGAATTTCACAAACGAACTTAGTCTGTAGTGTTCTGCGACTTCCTAGACGGTCTACGTTTACCCTCTCGGTTCACCTCAAAACCTTCGAGGCTTTGACAAATAAAACCCAAACGGAACAAGCACAGATTTTCTGCTAGCTAGAGTTGCGACTTTTCCAAGATCAGCTGTATGGCCTTAAACAGGCTCCTTGCAGCCTCACCTGTTTGTATGTACACAGCTAAAAGAACATGCATTGTCTTTTAACTTTTTTATCTCATGAAAAAATAAAACAAAATTTCAAAACTAAATAATAAAAATAATAGCTAATACATGTTGTATCATTATCTTCAGAGTATTTACTCAGAGTACGACATAAACCACAAAGATTCTTATAAAAGAGAAACAGACAATAACACAAAACTTGCTTCTCAACTAAGATAAACTAGTAACAGCATTGTCTTTTAGACTGAAATGTGGTTGCTCTTTTTTTGTTTTCGTTTTTCTCTGTATATTCAGTGTTTTTGCCTGTAAAGATACACAAGATACACACGCTGTTTCAGAAATGCTAACTAAGCTAACTTCCTTTGGCAATGGAAGAAAGAGAGCTCAAAAACAACATATTCTCAGGAGAATCTCGGCCCCATTAGTAAAGATACTAGAGGAAAATTGCCAGTTTATTCAGAAATGTTAGTAACAGCTAATACTAATTTTTAAATTCCTAGAAAATGGACATCCTATAGAAAGAGAATTTTCAGGCAGACAGTAATAATATTATTGTATTTCGACAAGTATATAGCATAATGAGAAACATAACTGAACCATGATTTCTATGAAAATATCTTTTCTTGAAAGTTCTATTTAAATAAATTTGTTAAATGCCAACTACCTTACAAAGTGGTTTTCCCATAAACTCTTATTGAATTTTTATCATATGTGCCATGAGATGTGCTCTGTCCCTCCCTTCCTGTCTTTCTTCCCTCTTCCCTCCCTCCCTTCCTCCATTTCTTTCTTCCTTCTATCCTTCCACCAACCAGCTAGCAAATACTGTTCTATGCAGCAGGGACACAGCAATAAATAAAAGTTTTGCTTTGGGGGCTTTCTGTTAAGAGTGGGTTGCTGTTGAATATGTGCGGGTAGATGGGAAGAAATACAAATGAAGGGGAAATAAAAATTAAATGTGAAAGGATGATGTGATAGAGAGGCTGAGGTCAAAGGCCTTCACCAGCAAGTTACAGCTGGACAAGAGGCGGGGCCTAAATGAACACCAAGTAACTATGGCCAGGCAGTGCTGCTTCCTTTCTTCAGTTTAGCAGACACTGTTGAAAGGAGAGAACAGCGGGAAATTTTTGCAGAAAACTGCTTCTGTTTATTTCCTGTTTGATAGGGTCAAGCGCAACTTGATCATAGACAAATCCACTTGACTGCCACTCTCAGTGCCTGCTTAAAGAGACTGGAAGCATTTTCCCCCCAGCCCCCTGCAGGAACAGAGCAGAAATGTGAGTGAGCTACGTTGCTAGGGCAAGGACATCTCAGCAGAAAATAGGTTTCTCTTGTTTTTCGTTTTTCTTCTGGTGCTGGCAATCAAACTCAAGACCTTGCAGTTGCCAGGTAGGCCCTTTTGCCACTGAGCTAAATCCCCAGCCCAGAAAATAGGTTTCTCAATGATGAAGCCAACTGCAATTTTTTTACATGAGTCCAGAAACGTTTCATCAATAACCCATTGGTATTTCTTTCTCTGAAATTTGAATAATTATCTACAGCCTCATGAATGCAACATCTTAAACATTGATTACTTCTCTCTGGAAGACAAAATTTTATTTATTACCCTTATACTAGCATATGTGTTTTAAATCTTAAGCATTAATAGTTCCTCATTTAAATACTTTCCCATCTCTGTTCTCTATGCTCTGGGATTTAAGACTGGAGGCTGAAATGTGTAAGTGACCCCTCACTTCTGCTTCTCAGAGTCTGACACTCTTCAAGTTAAAGGGTAAGGGTGCATGGGAAATAGGTATGTGGTGGGGAGTAGGTTTTGTGTGTTACAAATGAGGTCTCCTGCCTCTGATTATGTGGGGTGCTTGCTGAAAGTCTCACACCACATCTCACTGGTAATCTTTGGGCGATGGAGCCCAAGATGTGGCTGCTTAATAAGGTGCTTGAGAGACAGCCCTGGAAGTCCTGGGCCCGGCAGCAGCAAGGCTGGCTGTGACTTCTAAAGCTCCTACTCACTGGCCCAGGGGGCCTGTACAGTTCTGTCTTACGAAGTGGCATCAAGATTAGATGGCCCTGGCAGGCCAGTGGGTTCTGGGTCCACCAGACTTGTAGGCAAGAGCAGAGGGAATTCAGATCCAGCTGCTCACAGCCTATTGTGCTACGCAAATGCACAGGAGAACTCTTCAGAGCTCATACGCATGACAGTTTAACAAACTCTTCTGATCCCATGTTTAGTACAGGTGGAGTCTAGGCTGCCTGCACTTCTTTGCTTTGCAGACGAAATGCAGGTGTTGCTTTCGCTTCTTTTCTTTAACTTGGACTCCTCTCACGTGTACATTTATAGACCACGGAGGGAACAACAGCACTGGGGCAAACTCAACCTTCAAGGTCAGCTTTGGGGACATGGGCTGGAAGGTGTCAAGGTGACAAAGCTGAACCAGCAGGGGCTTTGGTCATCTCTGCGCTTGGGGCTTTTATCATCTGTGGCCTCATCTAAGCAGTTTTCTACAGGCTAAAGGGATCCATCGGGGCCTGAAATGCAGCTGGTAATTACTGACTCTTGAGGGGACTCGTGTGCTGTTTAAAAGCACTCACTGAAGGAGAAACTTCTGAGGCTTCTGCCGCTTAAGCTAGACCATGGGCCCCTGGGGGAACTGCAGTCTGATTTTTTCTACATATTAAAACTATAAAAGGAATAAATGCCAAGTTTAATACAATTGAACAAATACAGTATTCAAGCAGTACAAATATATTAAGTCAAAAGCGAAAGCTACACAAACCACCACCTCAGTTCTGTTTCCTGCTGTTCGGTCCAAAGTCTCCTAGATGTGTTTCAACCTGATGCTCACAGACACACATATGATTAGGGTTCACTGAAATATACATGGGAGAATCCCACTGCAAATGTTTTTAAACAGGTGGGAGGAAGCTCTTGGCTTACACATCCGGGAGGTTTAGGTCTCACTGAAGCAGTGGCTGGATGCAGCGGCTCCAGGGTTTGCTCCTCTCTCAGTCTCATCTCTTGTGTGAGGCACAGCCGCCTGCTGTGTGTCAGCCTCCACCTCCTCACTCCGGGGCTTGCTTGACGTGTTGGGGAAGATAGACATCTATGGCCCTGGACTCACTCCTGATTTGGAGAAAAATCATAACAACACCACTCCCAACATAACACAGTGAAAAGAGAAGTATAGGTCCTAGTCCCCAAGACCTGCAGGTAGTTGGTTGATTGGCAAAGGAGAGTTAAGATTGCTGATGGATTTAAGATTTTTAACCAACCGACTTTAAATAGAGATGTTATCCTGCATTATCTAGATGAGACTGAGGTGATCTACGGCCCCTGAAAGTCAAAGAAGGAAGGAGAAGAGTCACGGGGAGAGGAAAATGAGAGGTGTAGGCCAGGGCAGAGAGCTGCGGTGGGAGAACTGACCTGGTTGCTGCTGAAGGTGGAGGCCGGGTCCAGGAGCCTGGAGTGTGGGTTGCCTTTGGGAGCTGGGCGCAGCGAGGGAATGTATTTGCCATGCACTTTGTCTGTCCAACATTGTTAATGTTAGGGAAAGTATAGTTAAAGTTGGATTTGTGGGTTGAATACTGGCCCCATAAAGATGTGTCTGAGTCCCAATCCTTGGTCTCTGGAAATGTGATCATATTTCAAAATAGGGCTTTTGCAGATGCAATGTTTTGCAGTTAAAGCTCTCAAGATGAAACCACGCTGCATGTGCGGTGGGCCCTGAATCTGGTGTGACTGTCTTTATAAAATGCAGAAAGGACAGGCACAAGGGGTGGCTGTGTGGGGCAGAGGCCAAGACTGCAGTGGTGCCCTGCAAGCCCAAGATCACATGCGCAGGAGCCAGGACTGAGGCACAGAGCACTTCCTCCTTCAGAGTTTCTGAAAGGAACAAACATGATAGCACTGTGATTTCTGAAATTCTACCCTGAAAACTGGGTAGAGGATCCCATTTGCACAGACAGCGGTCCTAACCTGCGGTTCTGCAGACACCTAGGCGCTGAAAGTGAGGGCATGGCCTCTGACCTGGACATTTCAGGCTCCATTTGTGGCTACTTTCCTTTGCCGCGTGACCTTGAGCAGGGGGCTTGTTCTCAGAGCTCCCGTTTCCCATGACGATCAGAGTTCCCCCTTCAGCAGGTTCGTGTGAGTGAAGGTGGGCTCAGTCTGTGCATGTGGGACACGTGGGCCGTGGCGCGCATACCCGCAGCAGTCAGCAGCCAGTGCTGGGTAACCTGAGTGCTCAGAGGCTTCGGGAACTCACCCGAGGGTGGCCGCCCTGGGGCCGTGATGCCAAGTGAGGTGTGGTGAAGTGAAAGAGTGAGCACTGGGGGTCTCTGTCCAATGGAATTTGTGGAGAGCAGCTGAGGTAGTGATCGAGACAGAGCGCGGAGCACCCAAGGCCTCCCTGAGGGTATGGAGTGGCCCAGAGGCGCAGGTGCTCCAGCCTCCAGAATGCCAGGCGTGATAAGTGAGCCGGTTGTCAGGCTGTTCACAGAACCTCAAGCTCTGCTCCTCTGGCTCCTCCCACCCACGGCCGCCAGGCTCACTGGACTTTCTCCAAAGCAGCAGCTCCTCTGCCCTGCTCCAGGGTCCCCCCACAGAGCTTGTCTGGGTGCCCAGCTCCAAAGTGTACATTCTCGGCCCCACTTCCTATCTGATAAAACTGAAATCTGGGACAGGTGCCGCAAACCTACAGCAGAGTCATCAGGATCTGAGGCCCGGTGTCTGGTCTCCTCCCCAGGAAACTGTCTCCGTCTGTGTCCACGCCCAGCTCTGTGCTGACACGGAGCCTCAACCCCTCCGTGAGTGTGCGCAACGCGTGCC